CTAAATCGTTAGAACAGAGTAAATATTATCTGTTCTGACTACTTCTGTCTTCACTCAGAAATTTTCAAGATTCATAACGTATTAGAAAGTAATGGCTATTACCTTAATTTCTTACACTCTTACTACACAGACAATTTTAACAAACAAAAAAACCTACCAAGAAGCCACACACTGTCTCGAAATATCTGTTAGTTCTTATCACTCCTTTCTCGGTCAAACTAGTCCATCTGAATCTTGTATCCAATTGCATAGTGAGAATAACAACAACCCCATACTTCTAGAAAACTTTAAAACTCTCAACTCCAGAACCACACTTTACAAATTCTTTATTAAAGAAAACCTTTCCATTTTCAGTGATCACCCAACACTAAATAATAACATCAACTCCTCCCTGTTGTCATTAATTTAATAAATTTCAGATTCACTGTGTTTGTATTTGATTATTATCATTATTATATTAATTTAAAGATGCAGTGTTTGTACTTGTATTTAAGCCTTTATTGTCAACTGAGTTTAAGAATGATCAGAACCAGGTGTTAAAAAAAAAAGACTCAATTTTTCCACAAAAAAACTGATATTAAAACAGGATTGGAAGATATTGCCAGAAAAAGGTATGTAATTAATAGAAGAATGAGAGAGAGATAATAAATGGTTCAGGAAGCTAACAGCAGGGTGTCATTTTGTTATGGGAAAGGTTATGGTTATTTTCCACAAGTGCCAAAGGATGGTTATTTATCTAATGAGAATAAATAAAAATGTAAAAAAACCTAAAATACAAAATCTGAATGGAATGCTTTAAAACATTTAAGGAAAAGCAATCTGTATTACAGAAGCTAGTGCTATTCGAGTGATGAGTTATTGTGACTATTATAGTAAGATGAGGGAATTATTGAGTGATCAAGTGCTGTATAAACTTTAAGCTTATAACATGACAAAAAGCAGAGAAAAGAAATCAAACCAATTTTTACTTAAAGAAAAAAATCTGTTCAATGATTCTTATTATAATTTTTTGAGATTTAGTGATGCAAAAACACCTTACACTTACATCTAGCTTAAGTCACATAAACAAGCTATAGCTCTTAGACCTATTGTTTCGACCAGAGGAGCTTTTAATTGTGACTCAGGCAAATGTTTAGCCTGGATGTTGAGTCCTTATGCATTAAAGGGAGTGTGTATTTTAACAAATGTAGCACATTTTACTAAGTTATTGAATACAATTAATTCTCATAGTTTTTTAATTAGTTTTTAAATGGTGTAATTATATACACCAGTGCTGATGAATGAATTTTTATTGATTGTGCTCTTTCTTGCCTTATGAAAGATGAAAATACAGGAACACAACTTGTAGAAGTTTTAAAACAAATATGGATTTTTGAAACATCACGAACTTGATGATGAGTTTAATAATCAGATAGAGGGTATAAGTATGGCAGTCTATTAGTACCTCTTCTGGGTAGTATGTTCATGAACATGCTTGATTATAAAATCAAAAGTATGGTTTATTTAAGACTGTTTTTTTTTCAGATGTACTGAAGGTACATTAGCTGGCTTTGTTTTTGGACAAATGTTTGAACAATTTTTAACATTTTGGATGTATTTAATATGTTATGTAAAGGTGCCATGTTAATGGTGGGGAAATGTTATTTTATTTTATATAAATATTTTCTATTCTATTTTAGCTGTTTTTAACTTTTGTAATTTGGTAAAACAGTCAATCTTTTTTGTAAAATCCATTTATGGACTAAAACTAAAAAACTGTTGCCATGGTGCTTTTATTGTATTGAAAGGTCAAAAAGCATAGAGTTCAAGATCATACAGAGTTCATTGCTTTTTTTTTCCACCAAAGAGCAGTAAGTATAGGTTTTGCAGATGTAATTATGACTAAAGGTGAATTGTAAAGGTGGTCAGTTTTTTTATTACTATCTGGTTATAATACAACATATAACTTATAATTTCTGGCAACTTTTAGAAGTTACCTTTAGCCTTGATAATTTTTTCTTCATTTAATTTGTTAAAAGCCATAATTAACTGACTTCTTTTACATTTGTTCTATATACAGTCTCTTTATATTCACCATGTAATTAACCTTGGGTATAAGTATTTTTAGGGTATATGATTTGTTGTAACAACATTTACTGCTTTCAGGTTATGTGGTTAGCCATGACTACCAATGAACGGATGAACTGTACTAGATACCCTCATTTCAAGAGGAACAAAAATGGACATATTGTCAGCCCATTCCAGTAAGTTTGAAAAGTCCATGTTCAAGTTACGTTTTATTGTTATTCTTTACATGAAATCAATGAACATTGCAAGGTGTAACATTTTTCTTTTTATTGTTAATTTTTAGCAGTCAAGTAAAATTTAAACAGTTTTATAATTATGGGACATAATTTATTATTAGTTAATCCACCCAGGTCTTCACACAGAAATACAAGTACCCAACGTGTTTGAATATTCAAGTCACAGAGGGGAACCACATAACTAATATGTGAATTTTTGGCCTCTTCATAACTATTGTGTTGTCAGAACTTGCACATGAGTAGAAAGTCTCAAATTTTAGTTGTTTTTAAGGGGTTTCAACTATTAAGGAACTGTCTTCCTTTTCTTGGAGATACATTTAATTAGTTAGTACAGGAAATGTATTTACATTATACATTACTAAAAAAATACAACCATGACTCAGATGTATTGTTGGTATAATGTACTTGTAACATGAACAAATTTATTACCAGGTTGAGTTTTAGTTTTGCTGTAAATAGGTAGCTGGATTAGATCAGAAGTTGATATTAGTTTCTTGATGTAAGTGTTTGTTACTGTTTTTTTGTATACTCACATTCTGCAGTTTTGTTATAAGTAGGTAGCTTGCTGTGATCACAAGTTAGTGTTAATTTCTCAATGTAAATGTTTCGTACTGTTTCTGTGTACACTCGTGTTCTATACTTTTGCTCTAAGTAGATGGCTTGCTGTGATCAGAAGTTCATATTAATTTTTGATGTAAATGTGTGGTATTGTTTTCTTTGTACACTGATGTTTTAGCATTTTGCAGAAAAGTTGCCTACTGTAATCATTCTCTTAAAAATCCCAATACTGTTGCCAAACTTAGAATTTTACTCATAGTTTTTCTGTTGTCACGCATACGCTGCTTTTAGTTTCCTATTTTTCAGTAATACTGTCTAATATTATTATGTATTTTTCTTGCATTCATATAACTTTGTGCATAGGTGGTGGTCAAAATGCATTTACCACATCATTTTAAGGATGTAAATGTAGTATGCAAACTGCACGATGGACAAAAGTATTTATATTTTTATTCTTCTCATGAACATCACTTTTGTATTCTAATTTCTCAGAATCTGAGTCAGACTAATGTCATCAATTCACAGACATATCTTGATACAGGTACTTTCTTAACACTTAATTTTTTGTATACAACAGACTTGTACATTTTACTAAAAGCTGACCGCATTTCGTGTAGATACAAATAGTAAATTTAGAATTATATTCAGTGTTCTCTCTTCGATACAGGGTCAGTCCAATGAATTGACTTCGTGCATATTCGGGTTAACCCAACCCTTAATATTACATAGATTAATATTTATTTTTATATTGTTATACTATATATTCAGTTTTTAGTGATTCTTGTTTACATTAACTACATCTTGTTTCAAAAAATGATGCATGTGATGGTATTTGTCTGTTACAAAACACACAGTTGTGTATAGAATATTGTTCGCCTGTCTACGACCCTTGAACATGTTCAGTTTTGAGACAGCACGTAATTATATCAGTTGTAAAACCATTACTTTGATTCTTAATATATATATATGAATCCTTAATTTAAAATCAAGCTATCATATTTAATGCAAGAGAATTTTAGATTAAGCCTGATTAAACAGTTCACATGATTGATTGTTATGTATTTGTTATCAAACTATTTTTAGAAATGTAGCTGTCTACTAAAGACCAGTTTCTCATAGAATGATGCATTCTGGCTACACATTTCATGTATTGTTTTACTTACCTCGTTGTGATACAACATGTAAACTTATCACTAAATGCCAATTTCAGGAGTCAGATTATTCCATAATTTTTCTTGAAAGAAACCTAGGAGAGCAAATTTTTTTTTGTTTCTGTAATATGTTTTATACTTGTACTGAAGATATAAATGCAGGAGCATTCTGAAGGCATTAGGAAAAGTAACATATAAAGGATGTATATATATCAAACAAGTGGTTGCTGTTTTATTGTTCTGAAATGGGTATTTTTTAAAAGGAAGTTGTCCTACTGATTGGGTGTACCAGTGGTCTGGCCTGTTTGTTTAGTATACTACATGTATTTAGGAACTGTGTTCAAGTTTCTTTCATATTAAAAGTTGCATTTTGTGAAGTGTTATAAGAATATGTACTTCATACACCAATAGGATCATGAAATTTCATGATAGATTATTCTGTTTCAGTCAAGGTGTTTGGCAAAACTTAGTGGATTTCTTTGAATGGAGGTGCTTTGGCATGCTCAAACCAGATTCTAAAGATTGGCGGCAAGTTTTTGAAGTGGACCAGTCAGATGAGAGACATTGTTTGATCCAAGAGGGACAGTTTGTCTAATGGAAGACACAAGTGATCATACTTTTTTTCAAACTGACACATGCATCTAGTCTTATCATTCCAACTTTGAAAAGCACATTCATTAGAAGTCACTTAATAGTTCTAAACTATGATAATCATGTGCTGGTATTATGTAACTGTAAATAGTAATTTAACCATGTAAGTGTGAGTGATAAAACATACAGTTTTAAGAGGAGTGGATAAGTTGAATTTTTGCTGGTCATAGATCAGCAGCTAAAAGGTTATCATGAATTTTTCTTGCTGCTCATGTAGGGTGAGGATGGACAGTATTTATGAGAATCTAATAATTACTAATCTAAAGCTGGCAATGAACCCAGTTTATCTACTCCTATTAAAACTGTAAGCTTGTTCAGGTTTTGAATATAAGTGTGAGTGGCTAACAAACTTCATTCCTGTATGAAAATCTTGTTAATTTTTGCATGTATACCTTGATTTCTAAAAAAAATATCATTCCAGGATTGTAATTACTATTTTGTTTTGAATCATTTTGAAAGTCTTATTACTTGGTGTTTAAATTTTTCTTTAATCTTATAATAGTGCCTAGACATAGCATAAAAGCTGGTAATCAATTTTAAGAACCTGTGATGAATTTGATGTTGCTAAATTTTTCCTGTTTCACTTTCATTCATCTCTGCATTTATTTGTAATAATTTTAGAAAATCTATTAAATAACACTGATCAAATTTTTTCTCTTTCAAGTCATTTATTTGAGCTTTTTTTGTTCTTACTAATAATTGTTACTTTTTCTTTGAAATTACAATAACAACAACAACAACACGTGTACTTTTACATACGAGTGTAGAGAAAGTTATTTTGCATTTCATTCTAAGATTATTTTAAAGATCCTTACCACAATCATTTTATTTCATGAAAATTTGGTGATTGAGGTATATTTTGTTCAGAGTACAAACTTGTCTGTGGTTTCAACAAAATTTTATAATTGACAATTTTATTTGAAAAATGCATTGGAATTTCACAAAATATTTTAGGCTTTGTATAATGAGCATTTATTTTGATCAGGAAGCAAAGTATGTTGTCTTTGAAATATTAATAAATAATTAAAAAACTCAAATTTTGTAAAAATTGTCGCTATGGATAGAGAAACTTCTAATAAGGTTTATGTATAAAAAACATTTATAACTTGGACTCATGATCTCTGTGATACTGAAGTTTCAGATAATGGTATTGAAATAAGTATGTTAACTTTCCTAACATTTGTAATTGTTTTAAGGATTTCTGTATTTTTTCTGTGATTTTAAACAAGTTATTAATACTTGTTTTGAAAATATGTTGATTCAATTTTTTTTTGCAGATGCTGCAGTTCACAATTAAAGAGGGTAGTCAGCAAAACATATACCCTGATCTACATAAAACTGTTCTGAAGGTTTTAGCATGTGATTCATAATATCTTATATACCCATATAGGGTTTGGCACTACAGTATATTGCTATAATGTTTTGTTTATGCTTGATATAATGGATTTTATGGAAATCGTATTAACAGTAATTGATTGACTAACATTTTTCTTCTTACCTTCAGTATAGTCTGATTGACTTACATATAACATTCTAATTTTTTTTGCAAAATTTGTTGTAACTACTACAAAAACTATGCTTACCAACAAAAATATAATCAGAAAATAAGTAGAACATTAAATAACGTATTCTTTTAACTTTCTGTAATTTGTCTGTTTATTCTATAAACATAGAATTTACCATAGCATATTATAAAAAAAAGAAGTTAAAAAACACATAGGTTCAAGAAGTCTTAATAGAAATAAATAAAAACCCTATGACCTATTTGGTTATAGGGTTTTTATTCTTTTATAAGAAGAAGAAAGGTAATTTAAAGTTCTTAACTTTGAGAACAACAAGTAACCTAGCTGTTATTTATAGATGAGTTAATGCAAGTATGTTTACTTTGGTAGGTTTTATCTTACCTAAGCTAGGTGATTGATTTATATCTCAAACTTTATAAAACTATTGTGACAAATAAGTATGCTTGAAGGACCTCTAATTAATTAAATTAGTTATTGTTTTGTACCTTGCAAGATTCCAAATGCATTGGAAGGCTTTAGTAGAACATTAAATTCCGTGGCATTGCATGTGACATTGTTGTGAAATGCAAATAAATTTTTGGAATCTGAAAAATTCTGGCTGTTTAAATTTAGTTTTAGTATCACTGTAATGTTGTGTACGTAAAATAATATTGTAAATAAAGCTTGAAAATATGAGTACTGTAATGGCTTTGGGAAGGTGGTGCATTTGTGTCTCTTGTAAAAAGAAATACTCAGACATAATATGAAAGGATTTGGTGTTTTTACATTTGTATGATTTATTTTTTTATTCCTCTTTTATTGATTGTATTTTAACTCTTGCTTATTTTTCCAAGTTTTAATAGTCCAGTGATAGTTTCAAGACAAACATTTGTTCCTATAAAAGGTGCCACTTGTCAGATAGTCAGTATTTGTTTGGAATATATTATGGATTTTTAGTTCACTTGTTAACAAATGTGAACTGCAGAAAGAATGTGCAGATATTATCAGAGTTCTGTCACAAGTGCATAGTTTAGGAACATACTCAGCTGAAGACAATGACCTTCAATAAATTCAAATGAATATTCTCTGGGTTAATAATTATTTTCTGAAACACAGTTACCTCCTCTCACACTTTAGCTTTTTTCTGATAAAAGTTTCTCTTTGCCCATCCAAGCATTGGTAAGAATCTTACTTGCTCCAGCCTTTACAACCCACTATATTGCCCATAGCAATTTAAAACTTGATTATCTTCACCTATATCAATGCGCCTTATACCAGATCCGTGTACAAGCTTCCTGTTATTTCTCCCTATTCACTTTTCTGAGAGTGTAATGACAACTAGATATAACTAAAGTTATAAAACACGTAAGAGAAACCTGCAGCAATCAAATAAACTTCGCTTTGGATGATTTTTTGGGGGGGTTTTGAGTTTATTGTCTATTTTCTTCAATTTCCAAAACAATAAAAAATTCTGAGATGCTTCTGATATGAAATCTTACATTCATGTCTCTAAGGAGTCTCCTAGTGCTCCTAATCTGCCAACTCTGGAGTCTAGCATTGCCTGGGTGTCTGGGAGAGGATGTCCAATCTCTCATATGCAGCGGTGGAGTCTTAATGTGAGGTCTGATGTTTCTTCTCCTGTCAGCTCAGCTTGCTGTGGATCAGGGGCAGACTGAGGAGAATTTGGACATTTCACTTCCTGCACTGTTTTTAGACGATTACACCAAGATTGTAATGTCTTGAGCATTTCCCCTGTGGCTTAGACTTTTCTCCTTCTTTGTTGGGGGAAAGTCATTTGGCTTATTACCTTTCCACCTTTGCCAGACATTGCTATGCATGCTTGGAGATTTGCTGATCAATTGAGAGAGGGTTCTGTCAGCCTTGTTCTTCCTGTTTATCAGATCAGCATGCCTTAGTTTTTCATTGCTTGGAGAACCCATATTTAGATTCCCATAGGTTAGATCCTCTTTTTCATATTTGGGGTTCTAGGCCTGATGCCACTATTTGTCTTAACCCAACTCAGTTTTTCCCACACAGTACCTCGTCCATTTAGGGGTATTTTTCAATTTACATCTAAGTCGGACCCAACCTTCTCCTCTACACCTTCAGGCCATGGAACAGGCTGTTCTTCAAATACAGTCGTCTCTTTCTTCACCAGCATGTGCGATTCTATCTCTTTGGAATCACTTATTCCTTTGGGTCGGGCCCACATGTTCCCTTCAGTGGTTATTATGGGACCAATGGAACATTTGCACTGATGCATTGGATTGCCCGTTGACCCTATCAGCTTCCAGCCTGCTCAGTCTTGGCTGACAGTTGAACAGGGGCAACATGACGTCCTGAGATGCATCTTTTTATGGATGCTTCTCTCCAGGGATGGGGGAATTGTATATGGGATATGGAATTCAAGGGCCTCTGGACAGAAGAGGAATCTTCTCTCCACATCAGCAGTTCAACAAACTATGTCTCGTGCTCTCAAATTAATGCAAGGGATGGTGGTAATGCTTCACTTGACAATTCCACTGTGGTCTCCTACATTTCCAAGAAAGGGGGCACTCACTCCAGTCTCTTTATTTTCAGACATTGGAACTTCACTATTGGGCCCTCAATCATCAGATTGTTCTACTTACTTGTCATGTTCCAGGTGTTTTGAATTTAGTAGCTGATCAGTTATCTCATCCCAACAGAGTTCTTCCCACAGAATGGATGCTTCATCCCCAAGTGTTTTGTTGGATTTGCTCTCAGAATGCCACAGATTGATGCTTTTGCCACTCACTGGTACGCCTAGCTCCCATCCTTCTGGTCTCCTGTTCTTCACCCTCTGGTTTTGGGCATAGATGCTCTCAGCCAGGATAAGATGGTGTTCCTTCCAATTCTTCTGTTATTCATGATTCTTGCACTGACTCGCTCCTCATCCTTGGTTTGTCTTGGTTTCCACTCCTTCAGTATCTTCAGGAGTGCCAACCTTTTCTGATTCTTCTCTGGCCATCCCTCTTACATCAGCCTCGGTCAGACAATCTTCATCCAGCGATCACCATTCTCTGGCTTCACACTTGGCTTTTGTGCAGTCCATTGCACAATGTCAGGGATTGACATCTCGAGTGGCATCTTCATTAATGCAGTCCATTCGGCATTCTTCATGGTTTCCAGTTGATGGAGTAGTCACATATTTTAATTTCATTTTCAATACAACGTAGACTAGTATGAGTCATGTCTTAGTCTATTTTAAATAATATGAACACTTGAGCTCTTGGGGAATAAGAATTAATGTATGGTTTTTATACATATTTCATATAGTTTACACATTTCTTCAACTGTCAACAGGAGGATTTTTGACTGAAGAATATAAAGTTTGCTTTTGATGTTTGAAGGTTATGTAAATTACTTTCTGCAATACCATTTTGCTTTTAATATAATTATTCTAAGCACCACTTTTATTGAAATCATTGTTGATATTTTCATTTAACTTTTAATTTACCTGAATATGAACTTGAAAAATGTTTAATGTAATGTCAGGAGTTCCTGAATATTTCCTCTAACTTTTAGCTGTTTATGTTAATAGATAATTTAGTGTAATTTTCATTGATCCAAGTTTGTCTTGTTGAATTAGATCATATAGAGATATCTGGTCCTCTTTATCGTAGTTACTGGATGAATGGTCAATTGCATAACTTAATCCAAGTCACTGGATGAATGGTTAACTGCATTTCTTAATCTTACTTGTTGGATGAATAGTTAACTGGAGGCCTTAATCCTAGTTACCTGATGAAAGGTTAACTGCAGGTCTTAATCCTAGTTACTGGATGCATGGTTTAATTGCAGATCTTAATCAGAGTTACTGGATTAATGGTTAACTGCATGTATTAATCCAAGTCACTGGATGAATGATTAACTGCTGGTGACTTACCTTACAAAATTGTCAGTGCTTTGTGTCTGTGGGTATCACAGTACAAAAAAGATAAATAGAGTATAAGGTTATACTCTTTTATTCATATTAACAAACAGAAACTAGTCCAAGTCCTAAATATCTCTCGTGAGGTAATTCTTTTTTGTCTTTTATTATTTATGTATGGGTTTATCATAGTATTAATGTAGCCTATCAAAAACTGTTTTAAGTAATAATAACTTTTGCCTTCTAATATATGTTTGATCGTATAGAATTGGCTTACATATTCAGAAGATCCAAACAGGTGTTTGTTACAGAATTGATTCATAGATTAGTAAATGAAGCTCAGTAGTTCACATTTTGGACATCTTGTGGAGGTGCATTAGTTGTGCTTAGTTTACATTTCAACTAATTGTTTAGGATTAAAATAAAACTGTCAACTCTGGAGAATAGAGGACTCATCATGAGTGACATTCACTACAGTTATTATTTAACTGTAATTTTTCAAATTTTTTTGTATTTAGCTACTGGATAAGGGGAAATATCAGGTATTCAGTTGTTTCTTGATTTTATTTCCTAAACTAAAAAGAATACATGTACATTAAATGAACTATGATAAGCAATACAGTGGACTTTTAGATGCAACATAATGATACATTTATTTCAATGGATATGTTGCTTGTATATGAACACATTTCTGAATAGTGTAAGTGTTAGTAGAAACATTTTAGAATTGACTTGCCCATATCTTAAATGGGTTGCTTTTGTTTTTTATGTACATGTGTATTTTCTAAGCTCAATGAATAACATGTATACAGAAAAGCCAACAAACATAAATACATAAAATAACCTGTGCTAAATTTAAAATGTAATTCTTTCATATGCTTCACAATTAGAAAAAACTTATTTAAAAGAACTTGTAGTGACCTAGGGAAAGAAACTGTGTACAAGAAATAAAATGACTCAAAACATAGAAGGAGACAAGGCACTGTTTTAGAAATTTTGTTACCCTAAGTGTAATATGACAAATGTGTTTTGGCGAGTAGAGATGGCCAACAAGTTTTTCTTTTCATTAATATTAGAAAAACTAAAGTTTTCAATATTTCTTTAATACCATCATAGCTGTGCATTGCCTTTTTGTTATGGCCATGAACATAACTTTTATTATATATTTTCTTTAGTGTTATATTGAACAAATTTTGAGAATAACAGTTGCAGAGTATGACATAGAAACTATGTTAGGTTGATACACAGTTCAGCGAGTGTTATATATATATATATATAATTTGCTAATTTAGATCTTTTATTTTGTCAGCAGTATAATTTTGTGACAGATACAATTTGTTTACTGTAGTATATGTATTTATGCACATCATTGGATCAAAACCCTACATCAAACATGCTCACCCTTCTGGTCATTATAATGTGATGGTGAATCCCACTATTTGTTGGTAAAAAGTAACCTAAGAGTTGGCTGGTTGCTCTCCCTGTGACTGACAGTTCAAAATTAGGTATGGAGGCAATAGCCTTAGTAGTTTTGTCATAAACAATACCAAAGTATATATATATATATATATATATGTATTTTTTTATGGAAGATTTTAAAACATCAGTTATATGTTAAAAATCAAGTTGGATATTTGCTTCTAAAATTCATAAATATTACTAGTTGATTCAGGTAAATGTACACTAGTCATAGACTTTTCATAATAGTAGGTGTACAATATTGGGTAAGTATATTAAACTTGTTTTAGTTATGAGATGACATACTGGAAATATGGGGTGAGTAATAATATTTAACATATGTTTAGGGGTTGCACCTTAAAATATACAATAGGTAGTAATATTGAACTTGTAGCTCAATGATAGCAATATTAATATTGCTAAGTAGATATAACTGGATAATTAAACAAAAATTTCAGCTGGAGCACTTTTCACAGGAATAGATAAAATATGCAATAGAAGCAGACTAACATTTCCATAGTAGTAGTAACAGACAGACAGAATAACTTATTTCATTAATTGTATTTTAGGTTTAGCTTGATTTAAAACTGGAATGACGTTATATGTATTAGATTTGAAGATGCTTTTTTTTGTTGGTTTTTTCAATTTACTGAAGTGAAACTGGTGTCTCATATTTTGCATTTGAATGTAAAAGTAATATCAATTTTTTCTTTGCTGTGCATGATCGCAAACTTTATTTACCACCCATATATATGTATATACATGGTATCACAACAGATACGTTTTTGCATTTTTAAGTTATAGTATTTAAGAAACCAATGTTTTATATTTGATCTGTAAACCTAATTTTCTATTCACTTTAACTTTTTTTTTTGTTAAATTCATGGTTATATATATAATAGTTTCAAGTATATAAACTCATTTGCTTAGAATTCAGTTATTAAGGTCTAATATATGTAAGCTGTTTCATACTGACAGAGATT